TAGATAGATAGATAGATAGATAGATAGATAGATAGATAGATAGATAGATAGATAGATAGATAGATAGATAGATAGATAGATAGATTGGCTGTTGTCAGAATCCTATGGGGTCATATAGGGGTTATGTAGGGGTCATAGCTGGCTCTGTAGGCAAAAAAGAAAATGCAAATCCTAGCTGCTTGTCTAAGGTAATTTGGTTGAAGTTTGGTCTGCTCTGGGGTGATTCAATGAAGGGGATCGTGTTCTGAAAGGAGCAATTCCTACTGTGGCTTAATGGCTTGGTCCTGTGTTGGATCTTGGGTGAGGGGTTGCTTCTAATCCTATCCTTATGCCTTTGTTCAGACTTTGCTGCAGGGAGTTTCAAAATATCCTCTCTTGAACAGATTAACAAATCTGCATTCCCAAAAGGTGCCTCCTCAGTTTCTGCTTGTGGGAGCAGGGAGACTGGGGCTGCTTCCTGCCTCTAAAACAAACCGTGCTTCTCCATTTCTCACCTAGGGAAATATAATATTCTGCCTTTTTGTAACATTCCTCAAAATGTTTCATTCTTCTAGGAGAGAGGGGGGCTTCCCACAATATCTTGAATAAGAGATGATAACGATAACCATGCCCATAATAAGTATAATCTTTATTGTCATTGTACTTAAATACAACGAAATTATAATATTAATAATAATAATAATAATAATATTTCTATGCAGGTGCAGCCCATTGATCAATCCACGCTTTCAATACTGAAGATACAACATGATGAATATCATTCAGTCATGTCAACCAGCTCTCTGGTCCACCTGGAATATTCTTCATCTCTGCCATTCAACAGAGCTATCACTGTGGTTCTACCTTGCCCTCCGAATCAAGACAAAAGAAGAGAGGGCATTGAGACCGAGGCTGGGAGAGCAACAAGTGCTTCAATCCCCAGAGTTGCGAGCACTCATAATTTCCGGTGAGGAATAAGAAGGAACTCGTTCTTGAAAATGTCTCAGGTAGAGCCAGAATCCATAAACGATTTGACATTGTCATCTTCTTCAGCTCTTCAAATTTAATTATTGGGAGAAGGCAATCTTTCCAACATCTCAAGATGTTGAGAAAACAGAACATGCGCTGAAGCAGTGTTAAGAAAACATTGTTCTAAACCAGGGGTGGGTTCCGGCTTGTGTTACTGCTGGTTCACTCAGGGGTGCGCTGCGGGCGCGAGCACGCAGTAGTTCAAAAATTGCTTCTTCGCATGTGCAGAAGCAAAAAAACAAGATGGCGGCACCTATGCCACCGCCGATAGAACCGGTTTCGGGGCGGGGCATCCAGCCGAGTTACTACCTACTTGGCTGAACCAGTCCGAACCGGTAGCAACTCACTTCTGTTCTAAAGTAGGGAAACAAAACTTTGCAGAAGTTAAGGAGATGGATGAGTTGTTTATGGATTGGCTCTTAGTAGGTAGTAGCACCAGAGGTGAGTTTCACATAAGTTTACAACCGGTTCGCCGCACACGCACATACCTGTTTCGTGAGTGTGCGCAGCTTCTGCGCATGTGCTTTGCTCGTACGTGTGGCTTGAACTCATGTCCACAGCTTAGAAAATATGTGTAAATAGAATGGCATAAAGGTGGACCCACCCACAGGTTGTTACTATCAGTTCTCCCGAACCAGTCCAAAACGGCTGAATACCATCTCTGAGTAGCACAGTGGTTCTTAAAAAAATAGGCATAATTATGCAAGCTTTCCACAATATGGTGTCCTGTGGAGTCCTTGGTGCACTCTGATCTTGACTATTTTCTTGCAGACATTTCACTACTCAACCAGTGCAAAAAGTGAATAGGGTTTATATACTTGCCCTGTTAGTCTTGGTGGCAATGTTATCGATAGTTCCTTGATTAGGCTGATATTTACTGTTTGGTTATTAGTTTGAGTTGGTAGTTCTCTGATGGTGGCATCGTTTACTCCTTATCTAGATGCTGATTGATTGTTAGGCGACGTTGTAGTCTTTTAACTCTTTGATTGTCTCTTTTGAATGGTATGTAGATGTTGTTTATCTCTATCTGCCTATTGATGGCTGATTTGACTGAATGCCATGTTTCCAGGAATTCTCTAGCATTTTTGGACTTTAGGATTTTAGGATTTTAGGATTTTATTAGTATTTATAGG